TCTATAAGTCAAGTTAAAGTTAGATTAGTAGAATCTACATAGTATATCAAGTGTTAGTTGTAAGAATTACCTAATTTAGACCCAGTTCCCTTACATGAGAGATATAATTCTGGTATTAACATAATATATTCTTAATAAGTTATATCTGCTGAATTAATATATCTTATACCTCAATATTCACTTAGATATAGATATAGATATAGATACATAATGTTATTATTTAAGTCATTTTATTATCGATAATCTTGATATTGTTACTAAATCTGCCAGAAAGTAATACAAAATCTATATGAAAGCTAATATACATTAATAACGGTTCTATTTATTTATTGTTCAAGGATTGCATTTAAAGTTTCTTCATCAAACATGTTACTTCCTGATTGTAAAGTTTTTGCCAACAATACCAACGATTTATCTGTGAAATCTGGCTTTTTCCTCAATTCATCTAAGTCATTACTAAAGCTTGAAGCCATCAACATCAAATATTCATTATTTAATTGATCTTGGTCTTTAACCAATGTTTTCTTAACCTGGTTAATATCAATATTGCTATTTTTAGAACTTCCACCGGCACTTGTTAATTTACTAGTGGTAAGCTTTATGTTGGATAACCTTTCATGTGTTTCATTACTTAAAGGCTCTGGGCGTAACTGGTTTTGCTTATCTTGCGAATTAACATCAGTCTCGTTATCAGAATCGACATCAATATCGTCTATGTTTATACCCTTCGTTTCTTTTATAGGTTTTGGTTCTTCAGCAGCATCATCCATCGATTCATCAGAGGACGATGATGATGATGATTCTGAATCAGATGAAAAATCCTCTGTTCTTCTCTTCTTTCTTCTCCTCCTATTACTCTTAGGGTTTCCCACCTTCTCATTTTTTATCTGGGCTGCTACCATAGTTGGATAATTGTCAAATGTGTTATAACTTACCAGCTCTTTATGTCCTTTAATCAGGTGAATTTTTTTTTTTATAGAATTGATGCGTACTGTACATAAGAAAAAGTTGCAAATATTCATTTGGAAGTATATAATGATATTCTATGACTTATACAACAAGAGTTAATAGTACAACTAGCTTACTTGATTATTATTTCTTACTTTTCTTTGAAGACTCACCATTCTTTGATGTAGACTTTCTTTTCTTCACCATCGAAGTTAAATCACTGACAGCAGGTTTGCTTGGTTTCTTCTTCACAACCGATGATAAATCGTTTACAAGATTAGCTACAGGAGAATTATCTTCACCTTCATTACTAGGCTCACCTAATATGCCCTTGATGATGTTCATTTGCTCGTTTTTAAGGTCTTCTGTTGGATCTCTTTCTAATTCCTGGTATCTCACTTCCAAGTCTTGTACCAAGTCATCATTATCTTTCTTCTTTGCGGGATCTGTTTCCTTATTATTTCTGTCCCTCACCGATTCAATCGCAAGCTTCATCTGTTCACAGGCCTTCGGTCTCAGTTCTGGGTCATCGACGCAGAATTCTAATGCGAGAGATAGCTTATAGTGTGATTCTGAAATTAATGACGAGTTTTCAGGATTGTATAGCCTGAGCCTCAAGTCCAAACAGTTCTGTAAATCAATAGCAGATTGGGGGAAATTCTCGGCTTCCAATGACACTTCACCTAATAAATCATACGTTTCTGAAAGTTTCTTTGTCAATATTACGAATTCATTATCAGTTTCCTCGTTATCTCTAGATAAATATGGAATCTTTAGCTTTTCACCTTGAGATTGCACCTTTTCAAGTTTATTTTCAAATAAAGAACGAGTCAAGTCCAAGATTTCCCACGCGACCTCAAAATCACTCTGCTCCTCCTCCTCTTCTTCTTCTCCGCCTGCATCTTGTTTATCCGCTTCGTTTCCAGCTTCCTCTTCTTCCTCTTCTTCTGCAGCTACAGCACCACCTTCATCATCGTCTTCTTCTGCCAATGGAGCATCATCGCAAAATTGAAAATTGCCATCCTCCTCCTGTTCGTCTTCCTTTTCTTTGTTTTCGTCATCATTTTCCTCGTTACCACCAGTACCACCAAAAACTTCTGATTTCAACACTGCGCTTTGAAACAATGACTTTCCGTATAGCAATAACAAATCTGCGTCTTCTTCTCCATGCTCATTACTGAAGTTTTCGCAAGCTTCAGCATACTTTTCTGACGCATCATCAAATTCCTTAGCAGCATATAGCTTTGCTCCCTCAGCAACCAACTCATTTATTCCATCCGAGTAACCCATATTGAAATTTGACCTATATTTACCAATTTGTACCTAAGAATACCTTCTTCTTCTTCGTTATAGTCAACGCGTCGTTAACGGTTCCAGTCCATAATTTTTGTTAAAAGTCATGTGACGTTGACATTGCTATCATATTCAATCGATCGTATTTTGATATGTTTGGTTAGTATTGAAGCAAGCAAAACCTGTTTGCAGATCGTATTTAAGACACTAATGAATACAGATAGATATACTATAACATTGAATGACAAATAATAATGTCGAATCACCCGAATGATCAATATGACAAGGTAGGTAGGTCTAATGGTTCGAAGAATTCGTTGAGAAGGAAACCTCCACCTAGTTTAGATATAACGCATGAAATGAACACCAACCGTGTGATACCGCTGGAATCGACGCAATTGTTTTCTCCACATTCTCCGGCGGTTTTAGAGGATAAAAGTGCACCTCTGCCGATATGGAACAACCATCAACAAAAGCTCAGAATTGATACCGACAATTATGTATACGACGAGGAAAGTCGTTTTGACGGAAGACAAAGCTTAATTGGAGGGGGCGTTTATGATAGCGAATATGGGGGAGAATTCGCTGATGAATCAATTATGTCGTTTGATAGCCCCAGACCCATGGGACCCAAGACATTGCCCGGGTTCGAAGGGTATACAACCCCAGTGAAGCAAGCGAGACATGCACACCGGCCACAGAATGAATACATGAAGCACCAGAGTAATCCAAACCCACCGTATCCAACTAATGACATCCAATTGGAGCTTGATTTCTCGGACGATGACGATAATTACACCCCAAATGATAACTACACTTTTTTTTCGCCAGAGTTGACTCCATCGAAATTACATTATCCATTTAATGAACCAAATTACCATCGGACAACGCCATCAAAGAACCAAACGACACCACCAAATCACAGGACGTCAGAAATTATATCGCAATCTTTGAATACGCCAACGAAAATACCGTCGTTGAACGAGCCAAACACATTAGGTATACCAGTTAAGGGACTGCCACTGAGACAGGCTGATAGAAATAATAGTTATTCGGATAATTCAGGCCGTTCCAGTTCATCTTCACCAAATTCACGCAACTCAAAGTTCTCTATGAAGATGAATAACATTGGTGGGATGGGCACGAGCCCACCTAAGCATTCATCACCGACAAGGTCTCATACTATGGTTATTCCTGAAAGAAATTCACCGACGAATGGAAACTATATGGAAAGAGTGTATTCAGAAAGGCGAAGTAGTAGGTCTCCATCCCCGAAAAAGATTTATGGAAGATCACCTTCATTAATTTACGACCAACAGCCATTCAACGGTGAAACTTATTATGATAGCACTAATAGTCTTGACGAATTAGAAGATAAGTTTGACAATGTCCATTTGAGACAAGCGAGATGGAATTCTTTTGATACTGGAGAAACGAAATCAGACATCAGTGATTATCAATACTATGATGATGAAGATCCATACAGTGACATGCCCGAGACTACGACTACCAATTACTTTGATTATTCTATCCTACCAGATTTACCTTCTGCTAATACATCAGCTGATGGACAGCCTTCACCTCCATCAAAAAGAATGACATTAAGCTCTACCATATCGTTTCTCAAAAGAGATTCACAGCCAAATTTTTCTTCTCCAACTTCCACAACTAGACGAAGAAAGGATGACGAATTACCACCAGTCCCATTAGACTTGCCTCAATTACCGTTTACATCTTCATCCTTAGCTCTGCAACATTTTAATGCTTGTAACAATATTTGGTCCTTGAGCGATATTTTTGAATGGTGTTTGAAGTTGAAAACATGGTTACATGACCTGTTTATACCTAAGAGGGAATTCAAAAAAGCTTTAATAAAGTTATTAGTGTTTTATAAGAGAGATATCCCTTTGGACATAATAGGCCAAAATGTCGATCAAATAATTGCCAGCTTTTTAGAGGTAAAAGCTATCTCATATGCTTATAATAACAACAATACAAATAATGACGAAAACTCATTGCTTGATCCCAATGATAATGATACCGAAAAAAAGAGAGAGCGCAAAGAGGAACTTGGAGTCATAATGAATAATACTGTTAACGTTAATGGGGTATTGCCCGACTTGACGAACTGCTACTGTCATGATGAAGATCATAAGCCCAACTCAAACACTAATGAGGAGTCACGAAAATTAAAATGTTATTCTTCGCAATGCCATTTGAATAGAGTAATCGATCACGAAATTCAACTTCGAAATACTAAGATAAATGAAATTGTGCTTGGTGATGATTGGGCATCGCATTGGAGATTGACTGCTGAAGATTTAAGAAAATTCGACAAAACTGTTTCTAAACGACAATCATTGATTTTCGATTTATTAAAGTATGAACAAACGTTTATCCAAAGAGCAAAGTGCTTTGTTAATATTGTTGGGCCTGAATTTATCAAAGCAGCTCAAATATTGGTCGGTTCCCATGAGATTATTCTGATTAATAAGTTTGAGGATGATGTACTTAAACCCGGCAAAGAATTGATCCAAATTCACGAGAAGAGTTTATTTGAACCTCTTTTACGCATCTTGATCTCAGATGGAAGATTTATTAAAATCTTAGTTGATATTGCAAATATTTACTACAATTGGTCCAAAGTAGTTAAGAATTCTTTATTAAAGTACATGAGTACGGTGCCAATGATTGAAGATTTATTGAAGAATGAGAGCATGAAAAGGTGGGTTGACGTAGAGGTTAGAAATATTGAAAGAGTGAAAGAATTGAAAGTCAATGGTTCATTACTATTCTTAAGTACTTTCAACTCCCGCTATCAGCAGCTACCGTTGCAGCTTTCTGATATCAGGAAACTGTTTGATTCTCAAGAACCGGAGTATATTTCACTCACTAAGGCTATTGATGGTATTAAAAGATTAGGTTCTAAAGTTAATGAAATGAAAGTACATGCTGATAACATTCACGCTTTAAAGAAAATTCATAAGCAATTAAGTTGGAAAAATAATGTTAATCACGTCAATGCTAACTTGGGGTCTGAAAATAGAAGATTTTTCCATAGAGGTGACTTAACAAGAAAAGGGGATTTGAAAATTAATTCATTTACGAATCATTTGATTCTCTTGGATAACTTCTTATTCATTACTGAAAGGGTTAAAAATCCAAAAGTGAGTCTGTTTAGCTATAAGGTTGTTGAAAACCCAATTGCCATCGAGTTGCTTTTGTTCGAAATAAAGGAGAAGGAGTCGACCACGTCGACATTGGAATTGAAGCCGATAACAAAATCATTGACAGCTCTGTCTAATCCAGCTTCGCCTGTTCATCAAGAATTTTTAGATGGTGACGTTGAACCTGCTTCTTATCCATTTAAATTAAGATTTGCTGGGCGTGGAAAACATAATGCCTTCACATTTTCAACTAAAACTGAAAGAGAAAGAAAAGACTGGATCAACCATTTCTCAATGGCTAAGACTAACCTCTGTCGTAGGCTTAGGAAGACTGAGCCATATAAACTTAAAACGGTAGCTAATACTTGTTTTGCATATGAGCTCAGTAATAAGATTTCTAAATTACAGGTGTGTGCACCGTACGATCCAGTTGAAGAAGCATCAACAGACGCTTTAAGTAAGTTGACTGAATTGGGTTGCAAAGGTGATATTTATGCTTTTAATAACGCGCGGAACCATATCGTTTTTAGTAAGGCCCAAAGTATCACGTCGTTTGAGTACAGTAATACGACATTTTACCTAGTAGGACTTGCAACTGGTGTTTACTGCTGTGACATGCAGAATAGATGGAAAAAAGTTGTTGGTGGAACAGATATTACCAAGATCAAGGTAATAACGTCTATAAATTTGTTGATTGTACTAGGCGGTCGACATTTGCGATGCTATTCCTTGGATCTGGTCGTAGGTGTATACTACGATAAGAAGGAACATATAAGCAGCATATCGTTATCAAATGAACATGTTTTGTTCTTCGCTGTTGGAAAGCATAGAGAGATTAACATGTTGTTTTATGCGAAGAAGAAAAGTAACTCTTCAGGAACAACTAATTTCAAGGTTTTGATTCCGGAAACAGATAATGATGGTATGTTTAGTGCATTTAAGGTGATCAAGAAATTCTATGTTCAAGCTGAATGCTACGGCATATCGATTTTTAATACTTCGTTTGCAGTGCATACCAATAAGGGATTCGAGATTCTAGAGCTTGATAAATTATTACCTAGATCCATTCCTGATTTTCCCCACAGTGAGTCTTCTGGAAAGAAAATTGATGGTTTCAGCAGAAGATCAATTACTGGAGGAACCTATATTCCAGGCATAGAATTGGTCAAAAAGGCTGTACATTCGACGAGCATTAAGCCAATGGGAATGTTCAAGTTGAACAACAATACAGAATTCCTACTAGTTTATAACGATTGTGCTATTTTTACTAACAAACACGGCAAATTATCACGGTACTCCATGCTAAAATTTGAGTTTAAGGCAAAGGCGATCGCGTTCATTAATAATCACTTATTCTTAGTTTGTGACGAAGTAATGGAAATATGGTCCATCAGTGATTTTGTGAACGGTTCTAATAGACTAATCCAAGTTGTAACAGGAAAAGATATGAACATGCTTAGTAATGAAGATGCTGTCTGTTTTTCTATGGCCAATCCAAAAGTTCCTGGCTTGCAGTTGCTATTCGAATTGCAGTCTAAAGAAGTTCTTGTATAGTAGTACTATATAGTAATGTACATAGCGTTTCGATACTTCTCGCTGAAAAACGAGCCGAGGTCTACTTTCTGTGGGGAAGCAAATGTATATTTCACAGACTTACTACATCTTCGTTTATATGCTTTATTTAAGACCGTTTGTTTGAAGCTAATCTGTACAGAAACTAAGATATATTAAAAACACTTGCAGCAAACATGGTTGAATATAATGTTAATGGAAAGGTGGCAGTGATTACTGGAGGTACTAGAGGGCTAGGACTTAACTGTGCGGAAGCAT